AATGCAATAAATCTGGCTTAATAAAGGACTTTGGCTTTTAACGAAAAAATCCTAGCCATTTGTTTCTTGCAGGCTCCGACTTATTGAATATACTATGTCACAAGTAAAGTGAGTATATGCGATATAAATGATTGATTCAGAAACCGTTTTACATCCCTTGCAATACGTTGAGGAAGGTTTATGACGGTCCAGAGTTATTGCACGGTCCAGACATATCAGGGCTATAAATAGTTTGTGGCAATGATATTACTATTTGGCATTTGGCAAATTGTTTTACAAAACTATATTTGTTTGTCAAACAACGTTTTGATAATGTTAATTCTCCAACACGTTCAAATTTGACACAGACAAGGTTTGCTTTATAGATGCCAAATAGTTTTAATATGTCAGTCAATCGTAATTTGAGTTTATTCAGAGAGTTGTATTATGAGTAAAATTCCTTTTCCATAAACATAAGACCTATAACCTACTCATTCCTTATATCGGTCAAAATTCCCCCTGAAATATGTCTAACTTGTTTCTTATAAAACGTTGCACATAGTAAACTATTTTGGAATTTCCAGTGTTTGTAAAATCCGCTGATACAAGGATATTTACAACAATATTCGCTTTACAATGACGTCATTTCCACAATGTCAGGGATGCGACGTCACGTGACACCTGGATGTGATAACAGCTGATAACGCAGACATTCATCACCTGATATACGTGACAAGACGTGAATAAGCAATGTTGGTTGTTGGCAGGTCAAAAATTGAACACGTGGCTAACAATTAACCCATTTTCAGTATTTTTTTACTTTTTCTTATTTTTGTGCATTGTCAGGTCACTAATGGATGATATCAGATCGATGGATTTTTTGCCATGAGATACGCTCATTTATTTTACGCTAAAGCCATTGATAACAGAAAAGTAAATACTATTCTATTTTCATCGGTACACACAATGGTAATTCAATCTTTTTTGTACCAATATAATAATGTTATTTTATTAGTAGTAGTATAAATACTTATTGTCTTGACAATATACATTGTATCGATATTACAATTAATTAAATTTTAACTTGGGTTTAATATTGATTTAAACTTTTTATAATTTCATTTTTAAATTTTGATGCATTTTGTATTGAAGTCTTAGTCAATAGATCCGATCTTCAGTACGGGTTTGTTCAATTTTTTTATTCTTTTTTTAATATTGAGATTTTAATATTAATTGGTAATTTGTTAAATAATTTTCTTCTATTGTATTAAATATGTTTTTCATTAAACTTTGTTTTGTAGAAAGACGAAGAAAATATTTGTAATTTTCTCGAACTATAATTCATCATTTTGCCAGAATTTCTCAAAATTGTTCTTTAAAAATAGTAATGTTTCGTTGGCACCTTGTTCCAAATCAAACATAGAACTAGTTCTATAACAAAACTTAGATAACTTTTTATCACGAAAAACTAGAAAATCTAGAAAGCTAATAAGTGTGTGTTGCTAGTGTTTACCATCCCAGATTTCAGTGCGGGAAAGATGATTTCAAACACAGCAGTGACAACATTAATTAAAATAAATAAAAAGGTCTTTATTCGCAAGCGAGTTTCATATATATGATCTTCAAATTTACTCACGTCAAACTAAAATTAAACTATCCTAATATTTTCACAACTATAATATACAAATAATTAGAAATGAAAAACATTTTTAATTTACATGTTACAGCATTTTTTTCTTTGTGACCCTGAATGAACCATAGGATTTGGAGCTCTTTATGTCTGAGGGGTTGGTCATTATGCAACTGCGGGCCAAAATTAGAAAATTACTTGCTTCCAACCTCAAGTCTCACTTAAAGTGAAGCCCGCGGTCGGGACGAGCACCACGCAGACAGATTGGTTTTGACCGCTATCCCTTAAAGTCGTTACCATTGGAGAATAATCACATTTACTAGTATTGCCGTCTTTTACAAAATGCCATTGGCATGGACATTAAAAATATCAAAAGCATAATATAGCATAATAGCAAAATAATTAATAATAATAATTGTATTAGCAAAATAATTAGCATAATACAAACATTTTTTTGTTCTCTATGTAGCAACGAAAACAAAATATTTTTTTTTGTTTGCTTCGATTAGTTTTTAAGCCATGACCAATATCACAATTTGAACACGCCCATTCAAATCAAGACTATGAATTTCTTAAAATGTGCATATCATAAACATACTATTGATTATAGAAACAAAGTTATGTCATCAACTCAGAGGTGATACTATAACTTTTGTTTAATGGCTTTAGAGGTATGAATTTTAATGTTATGTAGTCATACCCTTTGGCCAATAAACTGATGAGGCAATTATAAAAAAAACATGGTGTCTGTCAGTCTTTCATCCCACAAACCCACAGGACTAATAACGTGAAATTCTGCACAAAGACAGCTGCTGTCAGAACTGTCATTGGAATTTTACCTTGGTTTTACGTTACCTATTTACGATTTCGTCCTAAGCTGTCAAAGTTTTAAACCAAGAATTATATTCAGTAGTTTCCGTGGAAACAAAGTCCCGTTATAATCTTTCCTGTTTATTTGCTAAATATATTATTTGGTAAAATATTATTTAATTACTAGCTGACCCGGCGAACTTCGTATCGCCTAAGTTATAGGTTTCCCCTAAGACAGACCGATGGAAAGAAAGTACCGTTACGTTTAATTTTCAAGATGATCTCGTTCGCATCGCTCAATCACGTCCTGGTTGAAGTTCGTTCGCTACGCTCACTCACCTTTTGGTTGCAAATTAGCTGTTGTCATAAATGTAAAAGAAATAATAGTGCTGCACCCTGTTGGTAATCCTTGTAACTTTAATGCTATTGAACATCATAGAACAGAACCAACTTGTTTCATTGAAACAGCCGTTAAGATTCATTAATTCCATTTCTCATAAGGTTAACATGGGAAACTCCAGAGCCACTGGGGCGGAGCCCTTTTAAGAATTTCGAAACGGGAAATAGTTTACGTCCGATTCGCATACCTACAGAATTTACACACCAAATTTCATAACGATCGGTGAAGTCGTTCCGGAGGAGTTTGCAGACAAACACTGTGACACGAGAATTTTATATATTAGATGTAACTTGACTGATTATAGTAAATCTATGAAGTTTTGTGTGGAGTTGGAAGGTGAATTGTTTTTTTTTTTATCAAGGTAGAGTAACTTTTTGGTTGTAACATAGTTTGGAGACCATTTTCTTTCACATTCTCACCTTGTTGGCAAACACTAGTTGCATACGCACTATTGTTATCAATTCTGATAAATTGACCTTCGGATCATCAAAATTTAAAGAAAGGTCCATATTACTTGTGTTAGTGTCGAAAAGATCCGTTGTAGTTAAAATCAACTATAGTGTCTCATTTTGCGAAAAAACAGAGTACATCTTCAGGATGGAATTTATGTGAGTGTGATAATAATTTACGATAAATAAAATCGTGTTCTGTGAAAGGTGTTTTAAGTTGTTACAATGTTTCAATACATAAAATGTGTAAAATAAATGTTAAAACAGGGGACTTATTGGAATGTGTTACGCTAGTATTAATTCATAATCTTTCTAGGTTAAATTAATACAGATGCCTCAGTATCGACTCCAGAAGTACGATTTTAAATCCATCTTAGGAATATGAACCAAAGAATTAGTGATTACGTCACTAACCGTATCTTCTTTATCACTTCCCTTGGAAACAAATTGATGGTTATTCGAGTTTTAGTTCTAGATTCGGGGAAATGCCACAAAACACGACACGATAGACTTTTCTCTATTTTTCAACACTGATCAAGCTCATGGTTTTGCTTTGATTGCCTGTGATCTAATTCCCATTATATTTATATCAATGGACCATTTTCGGACTTATGTTTAAATAATTGGCACAACTACTTACTCATGTCATTTTATAATTGTACAAGGTAAACAAAAACAAAAACGTATACTAAGCTTTCAAAAATTAAAAAAAAAACACTTTTTACACCTCATGCGAGAATGTTGAAAATAATTCATTGTAGCAAACAATGTTTTTAAATATTACATAATTTATTTTCCTTCGGAGGTCTTTGGTTTAATTTACAGTCGAAGTTAATAAAAAAAAGTGTCCCGAGTATCATTTTCATTTCCGGTTTTACAACCGTTCACGTTTCCATAGCAAAGCTGGATTAGTTTCTGGAAGGAAGGATCTTGTTGCCTCATTATAAAAAGTGGTTTAACCTGGGGAAAATGATTGAAAATGAGTTCAACGTGTTTATATTTGTAACTTTTAATATTGAAAAATGGTTCGCCTTTTGAAGGCTCTGTAATTAATGAATCTACAGGCCTATGGGTATTCTATAGGTATTGAATATTATTAAATAGCATTAAGACTATTACCACGACTTAATTCGTCAGTCAGTATGAATATTAAAATATCCCCGCCACAGCAAACCTGCAGACTACGTGAATTTCAGTTGCCTTCATTAGATTTTGATAAACATATTTACATAAAAATATTGAATTGTTTCTGTCTAAATAACATTAGGCTTAATGACTTAATAGCTTAACAATTATTTTTAGTGAAATGTAAATATCACTATGAATACTATTTAATAATAATGAAAAATGAACAATGTATTTAAACAGTCTACGCGTATTGATATTTGTAGCCTAAGTAAGGTAGCTGAATCTCTCTTTATGGTATATATCTCCAATTTACATACTTTATACATTGTATATTAGTAGTTTCATTCTTATAATAATTCTTTTCACCGCACATTTATGTTACTTTAATTTTTACGGTCAATTAAATACTATATTATTCAAATCCAAGAAAACGCCTAATAATTATTATAAACCAATTTAAAATATCCAAGCTGCGCAAGTAGCCTCCTCGTTTACCTAAAAACAGTAGATAATAACTTAGCTCCAACACAAATATAATGCATTCCTAACCTAGAATTTCTGCATAAACTAATCTTTAGGTGGACAGAATAAATTATGTTGATCCTACGCCTATTTAAAGTACAATGCTAGCAACTAAATTAATTGAATGAACATTTCTCTTCATGTTGAAGTTGATAGTTTCCAGAGAGCTGTTGACTTGAACTCTCTGTTTGTGTTCAAAGTTTGCCAATGTTTATTTCTCCTTCACATCAACTGCTACTTGGGTAACCAATATGAAATATGTTACGAGGGCACACAGGAACTGAAACAGAACAAAACATTGATATTCAAAATAATTACGATCTCTTTAAGGTCGATTGATGATTTACAGTAATAGCCATAGAAAAGTGGCGATGAAATACCTTACCATTGTATCAATTAATTCTGTTTGTCCTAGGACGCTAGGCACGAGCTCAGAATTGATTTTCACATCACTTCGGATTACGGCATTATCACTTGGATAAAATCCATTGGTGATTTGGAGGGATTTTAACCCGATACCACAGGAACCGAAGCTCTAACCACTAGACCAGCAGCTCCCCGAGTAGTGACAGCAGTACAGTATACTCAATTGTAAATTACTGTCACTCTTCTCTTGTAAATCTCTGATAATGCGGGAAGGAAGCTTTATTTGCTAACAAATTCTACAATCTGAGTAAATAAAAAGAAAATTCAGTGAAATGACAAAATAAGCTAACGAAATATACCTCAGCAATCTCAAATTTAACAATTGGTGCAAGGAGATGCCATGGTGATAAGGTGAAAATTACTTAAGAGTACAGTTACCATCATGATACACTACCTATAATAATGTACTATAATATATATAATACTATAATACATCATAATGATGTAATATCCTTCCAGATATTTCCTTTGTAGTGTTAACGTTTGAATTTTGAAGGAGATATTTTATATTCTAAAATTACTGAAAGCGCAAATAATGGATACGGTAATCATTTTTTTTAGTGAAATAAATAACGTCTTACAGATCCAGTGAAGTGTTTTGAGAGATTGACCACTCCAGGTACTTGGACTTGGACTTTGTTCCTGTCCAACTGGTAAACCAGAAGGTCCATCTAAAAATGTTTTGTTCCAAGTTACATTTAATGGAAATGAAATGCACATTAGTGGGAACAGGAAATCGATACAATCCAACATTTCCTTTACTTAGTATTTTGATCTCGTATGGTTAAAACATTGTTGCTGATAATAATATTTTGTTTTCATTTTCATTCCACACTATTCTTTCTTATTTTGGATTTCTATGTGTAAAATGTTTTACCTACTCAAGCAACAATGCTTCAATCTTACAGAAGGCTATAAACTGAGTTTCTCACAAAGTAAAAATTGTGAAATTGTTATGGTTTCAATTATTGTATATCAAACTTGTTTAAGTGTTTATTGGAAACGAAAAATATATGTGCCTCTTAAAAAACGAATGAATGAAATTATGTACAAATTTAAATATCCGTGTTGCTCAAAATATAAATATAAATGCAAAGTAGGTACACAAACTGTTGTTCAGAATTAATTCTTCAACGGACTACAAAAACGGACACACTCCTATGTTATTATAAAATTTGCAAATCAGACTTGAAAATGTTGAAAAACTAAATTATTTAATTAAAAGTTCACATTGAGTGACTGCTTTGATTTAAAACTCCTTAACCATCTGCGAAAGTCAATATTTATCTAAAAGTACGATAGGCAAGTGTACAATACAATTTCAATAAGCTAGGGAAAACATATTGCAATAAGCGTTCATTGCAGATGAATGGCACGTTCTTATTTGCAAGATCATAAGTTGTTAAGTTATAAGACAATTGTAAGATTGTTAATTATTTGTAGTTCTAAGAGGCAGGTTTTACCTGAGAACGTATACAGTCGTTTAAAGAGCAGATCTTCTCGTCAAATACTTTATTAAGCATGACAGTGCTCTGAAAACGATTAAACATTCATTAGACAACCAATATTATTCACAACATCCAATTGATATTCAATTGAATCCATATTCATTGAAATCAAATCGATACTCAATTGAAGGTTTATTGTAAAGCTTTACAAATAACTATGGTTTAGTTAACTTATAACTCTACTTTAAAAATCACGATTCCTGAACCGTTTGTTTAAACTATATTTTAGATTGAAATATGACACTCGTAAGCCTTTTTTATTTCCTTGATCAAGTTATTAAATACCTTCTAGATACATTACCAAACAACTCAACACTAATGGAGTACGATTTACTCACAATAAACCAGCACAGGTAGTGAATGTAAGCCAAAAATTGTAGGCTAATTGTAAAAAATGTCAACTAAAAAGCTAATCACACGTCAACATGTTTTAACTGCTCAGTTGTGTAACGTGTGATACATCCATCAGACTTTTTCTTTTCATTATTTTTTTAGTTTCGTTAACATAACGAACCTTTAGTTTGTTTACAAACCTACAAACCACTAAATAATTGAGAAAATATTGTCTTCGTGCTCTGTAACTCATCATTTACTACCGGTTAAACTATAGTCAATATATATCCAAAAGGTGGTAAAAGACAATTGGTTTAAGTGAACACCAATCATCAGACCTACATGGGCTAATCATTCTGTCACCTGTAAGTGCCGTCCATTAAGTCTGATGACGATTACAGAAATCAATCGCCTTTGACAATCAAAGACCTTTAAAACTGTGCATAGGTCAACTTAAAAAGTATTCTACCAATTGTTGTGTCGACTACTGTAATTCCATGGTCTGTGCCTGAAGAAACTAAAAGGCATATTGTGTTATTGTACAACAGAAACGAAATAAACTGTTTTCCACGGTAATATAATAAAACGTTTAAGAAATGTTCACCCAATTATCTTTCAAATGGGCTACTCAGTTTGTTCTCATACAAATTTGTTAGTTAATTTGTTGGCCCCAAAAGTCGAAACCCGAAACTCAAATATCAAAATTAAAAAGCAAGTCCTGTTTACTTAGTTGAGGTTCCAAAAATTAAGATAGGCTACTTAATAATAAAATGTTTTGTATTGAATCAAAACTGAAATCAGAAAATTAATTTATCTCACTAATTTCTATATCTTCACGGGGGTAAAAATCTGGGGGTAAATCAGGGCCGTACATCTACAGTTGCCTAAACGCTAGTTATATGGACAGGGGGTAGAATTCTGGGTTTTAATGCTAAACTAATTTATCACGCCCTGTCTATTTTCATTAGACTCCCAAATCCACTAGGGTAAAATTCCGCCCACTAATAAACTTTAGATCGCTCAGGTTACTACGTCATAGTGACGTCAGCTTTGCCCAGAGGGTAAAATTGCAGGGGAATGAAATTCCGGCGACCCGAAATGCTTCCACACAACTTACCCCAGAGGTACAAGCCCCACCAGGTTGAGAACCGCTGTCCTAACGCCTTATGGAAATGAAAAAAATATCATATTACCTTAAGATGTATTTTTGAAATGTATGATTTTTATGATATTTGAGGTTTAAAATTTTTACAACCAAACAAATCCTACATACCACCACGTGCAGCCGGCGGGAGAAGTAGCCTATGGAGACAACCAGTACAATACACAAAAGCAGCTCGGTGTTCCAGAAGAGAAAACAGTGACATTCCTTGAAATCGCAGTAGGCCGCGGTCATGACGTGGACTGCTAGGAAGGCGCAGAAGGTGGCCAACTTCAGACCGAAGGCGGCGTTGAGATGTCCAACACAGTCCAGCAGCTCCACGTACAGCGAGCGGTAATGGTCAAGTCTTAGCCGAGACTTGGCAGTGTTATGACGACAGGCCATCTAAGTTATTACATAGAAAGGATTTGTTTAAAAATTGTTTTGCATTATATTCCAACTTATCATTCTATCTTCTATACAAGCTGAATGGTGCGTGGCAACGTCGCATCAGTTGACCTATTATCGTGGTAATAACAGGAATAACAAACGTACTAATGAAAATTGTGTAGAAGCTCCATTATGAATTGTAACAGCTATTCCAGTAGGTACCACAGCCTTGGAGTCCATGCATTTATGCATTACGCTAATTAAAAAAGTTACGTTAAATTTTCCATTTAAATGAAAAATATACAAAAATATATCGTTTCAGTTAGCAAAATCGTAAGATAATTGGAAAATAATACAATTTAAAGTATGTAAATGTGTACTTTTCATAAAAACTCAGTGGTTGTTTGTCTTTTACCCCTTTAAAACAGATTTAAATTATCTTTAATTCTAAACAAACTTAAGCTATGTTTGCGTGAACCCTTTCTAACTGCAGCTGATCCGATGTTGACCTAGGTTTCGGCCCTTTGGGGTTTTGCAGTTCTAAAATGCAGATTTGTTATTTAACTAACTGATGTGTCTTCATGGCTATGAAAAAAAAACGGTACTTACGTATTATACGGAGGCCACTTATTTTACAGCGCGCTGCGGTGGTTAGGTTAGGTTGGTCTATTATAAATATGTTTGTAGGACTTTCCCACTTTCGTTATGAATCGAACCAGTCAAGTCATAAAAGCTTCATGATGACCAAACCACCGCAGCGCGTTGTATAAGGGTGGCCTCCGTATAATACTTAAGTACCGAAAAAACAGTGCAACTCTAAATTGTTGTTCGAATTTTTTTATTGCTTTTACTTTCCAGTGTTACACAATTAAATTGAACGAGTTTTGTGCTAGTTCGTTTGCACGTCCATAATTACAAATTGAATTATAGTTGTAAAATACCTTTCTTTCATCCGTTTTAAATTCACTAACTTTGAACCCTAGTTTGATAATCATAGGTAAAATTACTAGTGTGTAAATTAGCTTTTATTAACAGTCTAAAAACAGTGCAATTTACCTGAACGTATTTCAACCAAGACGTATGCAGCTGCAATATGCGGCAGAATATTTCATTGCAAAAGAAGAAATAAAGCATGCATTGGAGAATTTCTGGCGAGCGGTAAATTGACATTGCGAAAACAGTTGCGTAGTTGACATCTGGCAAGATGGATCGTCTCCAAACCAACAAGAGGAACTGAACCATTGGTGCAATGATCCATACAAGACCTCTCTCAAACTTTGACACACGTTTCGTCAGCACGGGCACTCGGTGGATGCGGCTGTCGTATCTATCCAGCTGATGCAACAACGCGCAGACATCTGACCAGCCAATCAGGGAAGCCACACATGTCGAAGGAACGAGTATAGACTGATATATCAGATTGGGCCATGCAAAATAACTCACGAGATTTGCATTAGCCACGTAGACTGTGAAAGGAACAATGTTGAAGAATATGTTGAACAAGGTGGACAAGCTTAGCACAGAGAATTTGATAGTTAGTGTATCACTTGAAAGTGTTGCTCGCACTGGAAACTGACCAAAGAGACGACTCACAACTCCCAGGGGACCAAACCTCTCGTAGAGAATCTTCAACAGTTGTACTTCTGTCTCTAGCATCTTGAGCGGAGGATATCTCATTTGTAAGTCCTGCGCAAAAAAGGACATTAAGGTATTTAAAAATTGCATTCAATATCGGTACTAAATACTTGAATAGCTGTTTCAAAAAAGACTTTGACAGCTTCTTCACGTCTAACAATTTTGCTTATAGAAAAATTTTTGATCCTAAAGGTACTGTGACACATAACAAGTTTCTCTCTTGTAACTTTATCCTATATCTGTGAATACAAAACATGTCCCTACAAAAACTTAATTGTATTTACAGTTTAATTATTTGAGGTTAAGTCCCATCCTTGAGTTTTTTTTTTAGAAAGGCTATGGACATGATAGTTCTTGGAAAATCTCCTAATGAAAAACAACTGTACTGTAGATGTCTTAGATCTAAGCATGGTCCTGAAAGTTTCTGATATATACTCCTCAGTAGTAAGAAGCATATAATACCTATTCGTCTGGAATAAAAAAATAAATATTGAAGAAGGGTAAAAGTTAGTTAATATGCACCTTATAATATTTTAAAATACAATGAAACCAATGGTATAGAGGCAAATGTCTGGTATATGATCACTAAACTAAAGTTCATTAAAAGGCTTGCCATGTTAAATGTCTGAGCTTTTTCAAATAAACTGACGGATTATAATATTACACAAAGTCTGCTTCCAAGAAGGTTGTTGTAAGGCTTGGGCTTAATTAAGAAACTTCTTTGTGTGCTCAGTGACTTAGCTCTATTTTTTTATACGTCACACTTTTTATATTATAATTCATGAACTGGGAGTGCCTTTTTGCGACGTAGTTAAGCTGAGGTACGTAAACATAATGTTTTCATATTTGTAGAGTGCGAAAAATAAGTTAATGCAATGGAAGTAATTTTCAGTGTTTATTTGCAAATCCTTTAGCTATTTTTATATGTTGTGAAAACATAAAACTATACCACCCGCACTTTTATGGCAAGCCAAAAACAGGTGTAACTTTTGTTATTTTTCAATCATATAATTTGCTCATAATTTTATATAGTAAAAATTAGCTTAAGTTGAGAAGACCGAAGAGTACCCACATACTTTATTTAAAATGTTGACCAGATTAAACCTATCCAGTAATACTCCCACTGCAGCAAACCTGCTGGCTAAATGAATTTCCATTTTTCTGATCAGATAACACTGAAATACCCCCCTAATCAGTTTACATATATTCATTATCCATTTAAATTACATGATATTTAGTGAATGCTTAGGTTTGTTGCTACGAGGATTGAGATAAAGTGTGTTATTTATTTAAATTTTATTAGCTCATTGTGAAATAAATACATTTACCAATTTTGATCAAGATATATCCGTAACGTTGACTACAAAAGTTAGCTTACCCTCCATAAAAATAACAAGGAAGTTTAAATTTGTTTTCAGTCCGTGACCTTTGAACGTACAACGGCGCTTCAATATACTTTTTTTAGCTCTACAAAATTCTTTGGAAAGAAACTGCAAAGTTTTACATTTTCAGGGTTAAAAA